GGACTGTCTTAGGGAAGAAAGCTTTTAGTTGTGCAGCTCCAGTAACTTGGAACAATCTGCAAACATGTTTAAAACTGAGCACTTTGGTTCCCCTGCATCATTTGAAAACTGGGCTGGGTGGCATGCTGTTTGATGCTCATGGTACCTGTCACTGTAAATAGAGTTTGTAAACTGTACCCTGTATATTATGTTGTATGTCATCCATTGTTGTTCTGTTGTTTTTATGTTACATGTGTAACTAATGTCCTGCAGGTCACCCTTTAAAAAGAGATCTTTTGATCTCAAGGGGCTTTCACCTGGTTAAATAAAGGCTACAAACAAACAAAGTCCTAAAATAGGTGGATTTAAGACCCAAGTGGGTGTCCTCCTGACTCCTGCCTGGTTCACCTGATTTCCCTCCGTCTAATGTCTTTGTAAGAGGGAAGCACTTTGGAAGGAGGCTATTAGCGCTCTAATGGAACCCTAAACTTGCCGGGCAGAATAAGAGCACAGCAGGGCAGCTCTGAGAGCTCGCTGTGTGTTAATTGAGATGGACTGTTCATTATTTTTGCTAATTTGCTTGCAGAGAAGCCGGATTCTAATGATAGCTTTAGCATTTAGCATTTAGCATTCAGCAGCAGACAGACACATGACGCACTGATGAAAGTTACAGTTGAGACATCTCCTGTGGAGTATCATCCGGTCTATACCCTTCAAGTCTACTTGAATGTTTTTGAAGGACCGTGAGTCTTTTAAAAAGTAGGGCTGAAAGTGGAGGGGGGTCTGCAGAGAGTCTGTTGACCTTGACACACGATGTTCAGGGTGGGAAATCATCGCAGAAGATGAGTCCAAGGAAGGCGATCAGCACGGCTCGCTCGCCAATCTGGACTCCTCGCCCGGCACCTCGGGACACAAGATGGGTCATGGATCCTCTGGTAAGGGAAACGTGTTTTCCATAAGTAAGTCATTGGTAGAAAAAAAAAAAAAAGGTTATCTCAGAGTGCATGCTAGTTATTCCACTCTGTCAAAGCTTTAAAAGGAGCTTGAAATGCTACCTGGATCACGTGGAATGAGAAGCCTGAACACTGCTGTAAGTGTATTAGCAGATATTGATCCTTAAATGTCAAACAATGTGATGATACATTAAATATATGTGTTTACATAATCATTAACAGTTTACAAGCAGAGACTAATTAGAAAAATGAACTTGTCAGTGCTTTATAGTGGACAAACAAAGTAATGGAGACACATTGTGAACTTCAATTTCTTTGTCCTTATTGGCTGACAAATACACCGATATAGTTGAATGTGCAATAAGACGATACGGTCCACTTTATTGGTAAAGCTCTACCAAGTAAAGGTACTTACTTGTACATTTTAAGGTCATTTCGCCTGTCTGTTTTAGTTATGTGCAACTTCTTAGAAATGGCACAGATTGCTCTTGGGAGTAACCCAACTGTCTACAATGATTTATAAGATCCTCACCTCATCAGCATAGCTTTTCGTTTTCATTTCGAACATGCACACCTCTCTTGTCGGTCTCGATAGCGTTTGCCCCAGCGGTTTTGGATGGAAATAGAGCGCACCAAAGCATTAGTTATTCTTCGGCCTTAAGATTATGTTTGCCTCACGATTCCCAGGCAGACCTCCTTAGCTCTTAGGCGCATGCTAAGCATAGTAAGTGCTTGCTTCTTAACTTGAGTGAGTGTTGTGCATGAGTGGCATGACAAATCGTTCTTTCTTTAAAGATGTGGTAGCCAAGTCTTGTAACAACGATATTTCGAGAACAAAAACATTTAAAAACCAGTGATTTTATGATCGTGCCAGAATAGAGTTGCTTCATGCTTCTGCACCAAACATCAGAGCAGAGTTTTTCTTCATTCTGGGCGTTTCCACATGAATCCTATCTGGTTAACATACAAAATGTTTTCCCTTTATGTTTATTTTTACTAAATCTCTTTGACCTACATCAAACCCCAGCAAGTCTTGTTGCTGTCTCTAACTCTGTCTCCACGTTAATACCACTAATGTGTGTTCCACATGACCAGCCCAGCGTGACGAACTGAGGGAGATCTTCAACGACATCAGCAGCTCCAGTGAGGATGAGGAGGACGAAGGGGACCGGCACGAGGACGAGGACCTGAACATCATGGACACGGAGGATGATCTGGTTCGACAACTCCAGGAGAAACTCAACGAGGCGGATTCTGCACAGCATGAAAGTGATAGGAACAACCAGATAGGTGAGAGGAGGGCAGCTTTCGATATGTGCAGGTATTATATGTCAAGATTGGTAACGGCATGAAAAGGTTAGCCAAACATGGGAGATATCATTATGGATTATAGTGTAAAGTCAAAACAAGGAATCTAAAAAATCCTTTAAGTTCTTCACCAAGAAAAAAATAAATAATTTGCTTTTCAAATGTCTCTCTTTTGGGGGTTTTGGACTGTTGCGCTCTGGGAACATATGATATGAACTGACTGTTGATTGGTTGATTTTTGATAGATTACAAGTAAATGGCAGTAGTTGTTCGTTGCTGACTTTTTGTCAGAAACACAGTTAATATCACACAACATCCATCAATCAAAGGGGTAAAACGCAAAGGAAGAACTCTTGGATATTTGTCATAACTTAGATGTATGTCCATATGTTTATATTCAAAAAGATTGAGGTGAGCATCTGTACGTTTCTCTAGAAAGAGTTTGTGTGTCCATAGAACGAGAGCTAAAATGACGCAATAGTTCATAAAGAACTTGCAGGTTGTATGAAACCTCAGTGGGATCTCTTGTTCTTCCAGCTTAACAAGTTACACTCTACATTCATTCATATTTTAGTGGTGCAGTCGCCGCTAAGAACTTTGATTTCAGAACTGACTCGTAGACTTGAACCCCCTCAGATCCTATTCAAAGTCAAAAATAAACTTTGCGAGGTGTCTGGACTTGATCAGAGCTGAGTTTTCTGGGTCAGACTTCTAAAACGCGCACTCATGAGAAGCCTTACTTTCACTTTAAAGCATGTGCTGTGCCCTCGCCCACAGAGATGCACACACAGCGCTCTCCTCCTACACTAACCAGTCTGACAGGTGTTGCTGCTCAGCCTGAGACTCAGACAACTGTCCGGCCTGACAGCTCCATGCCTCCTTCTCTACATACATGAAGCTGTCAGTCAGCTCCTGATGTGTCTGGCTGTACGCTTCTGGCAGCCCAGCAAAGTTGTAATAAATAGGTTTTCAAGGAATCCCCCTCTGCTTGATTTTGCATATTAGGGGATGGAGTCAGTAGTATGGGGAAGCAGGATAGACACAATTAGTTAGGGTTAGGGAAAGATAGTTGATGGTGATGGAGCTACAGGTTGTTGTTGTTGTTGTTGTTGTTGTTGTGAGGCAATATCACTTTGGCTGGGTTTAATGAGAACCCTCTGTGGAGCCCGCAGCAGACTGATTTAGTTGTGTCTTTTAGTGCTTCGGCCTGCTGGCTCACGTCCTTTTAAATGGATTTGTTGTTCCCATTAACCGCAATTTGTCAAACGAATTGGAAGCATCCTTGTAGTTCAACAAGCAGAGGCGCATATATTATCCTCATGGCTTTGTGAGCGTAGTGCTGCTTTCAAATGATTTCACATCATCTCTCTCCAGCTCCTCTTATTTATTTTTCTCTTGCAAAAGAACGCGCCTCAGCCTGAATGACATGTTGCCGGAGTGACAGTGTTAACGTGTGAACCTCCTGCCGTTTCCCTGCAGTTATGGAGTATCAGGTGCAGATCAACAGCGTCAGGGGCAAGCTGCAGGACACCCGCGCCCGAAAGAAACAGCAGGAGGAGCTCATCATGAAAGTGGAGAACCAGGCCCTCAAAGTAAGCCGTGAACACACACACACACACACACACACACACACACACACACACACACACACACACACACACACACACACACACACACACACACACACACACACACACACACACACACACACACACACACACACACACACACACATCCTATCCAACTAATTCCAAAACTAGGTCTGCATGTACTGAAACCTAAACAAGAACATGCAGATGAGCTTGGAGGCAGAAGTCTTCATGCTCTGTAAGTCTCAACAGGGATTTGAACAAACATAAAAAGAGAAACAGCTGTAAAGTATTGGAGGCAATTATCTCTTCTTTTTATATTTTTAACGACATAAATATAACATTTCTCCCATCTGCCCTTTAACTATATAAGCATTTCCATGAAAATATGATGGCATTTAAAATGAACTGTTTTGCCAAGCACTCTTTAGTGGAGACTGTACAATAAGTGGAACATGAGCAGACATGGCCATTTGGTCATTGCCATTTAGAGCTCTTATTGCCCGGTGTTTTGGGAGCCTCGTCTCCAGCGGTTATCGCAGGGAAAAGGTCAGCCGTCTGACTTGCATTCCAAGTATCCTCTCTGTCAGGGAGGAGATGGTGACATGAGCAGACCAGGCAGGCACAGATTTAAAGCCATCACAATTTAATGAGGCTCAGCATGTGGACTCTGAACAAATCATGTTTGTCTCTCTCCTCTCACAGAACCGCTTCCAAGCTTTGTTGGATGAGATTATTCTGCAGGAGGAGCGGGAGATGGAGCAGGTAAGAAACCTTTTTTTCGTAAAAGCCGAGTATCAGCAACTCGCTGTGAGCTCTCTACAGCTTTCAGCGCTTTGCATGAATTCACATCGTATGAATTTCAAATGCTATGTTTGCAGATGGCATTGTGCTGGCTGTCGTTTTTTTAGAGCCAGCAGTTTTTCGCGCCTGATAGCAAAGTTCAAATTCAACCACGTGTAATATAATTTGTCAGCGGCTTCAAGCGGAGTTCTTTCTGAAGCTTTGGCGTAATGGCCACCCACTGTCTGGGGTTGTTGTTTGTATTGACAAATGAAGGCAGCAAATGAATGTGAAAAGACAAGTTAATCATCATCCACTTACCCTCCCATTACAACCCGGGGCTGGGGGGCATCAATCAACTCTTCTGTTTTCTGCTCCAACAGCTGGCCTCCCTGCAGGAGCAGCTGGACTCTCTGATAGAGAAGTGACCACCAGGGGGCAGCCTCCTGTCGTCTTCAGCCTCTCTCACACACACACACTCATGAAGAGGAAGAGGAGAATAGTCTTCATCAGGGAGGAGGGAGTCTTTATTAGCTTACTTGCTGTGTCATTTCCTTGCAGTACATACGTTTTCTGTATTAAGTCAATATTTGTATCAGGTTGACACCGTGTGTTGTTTATGACTGTATGATGTGAGTATTTAATTGGTTTCAGCTGTAAAAATATTTGTTTTTCCATCTTAAACTTAACTTTTGTGTATTTCACCACCTGTATGAAGAATAAATGACAGTGATACAAAGTGAATTTGAAACTTTTTTTTATGCATTCCGGCTCAAATTCACACATTTTGGCAGTTTGATGTTGGGCATAAAGCTCCTTTTTCTAAAGGTGGATGAAACCTTTAAGTGATAAAGACAGTGATAGATGGTGTTTTAGTTACTTTGCCTAAAGGGATGTTAATGAGATCCATTGGTTGATTGATATGGCACTTCTCCATTAGCCTCCACGCAGGCCTCCATCCCCTGCCTTGTTAGACCTGGAGGAATCCGGAAAGGGTTTGATTAATACATAAGACCTTAACCAAATTATTAATATTCACAGGTCTAATAAGCTATTACGCAAACCCTGACCTTCTTATAGGTGTCTATAAGCTGCCCATGCTCACTAACTGTTGAGTACGACTTTCGCCCAGATAACATTTAATCGGTGAAATATGTGTAATGCTGTCAAGAGTTCAAGATGTTTCATTAAATATATTCTACATTTTACAAGAAGGAAAAAATGAGGAGTTTTGATACAGAAACACTCAAATATGCATGTTAGGAAATGAATGAACATCAGAATTAGATCCTGGGGAATGTATTTTTTATTTCACTGTGTCTTTAAACTAGGTTAACATCGAGCTGACTGGCTTTGTTACTGCTCAATAATTTAAGTTTTATACATTAGTTACTGTTTCTCAGAAATCAACCCTTAAACTAGTATCGAACCATATAGCCGACATGTGGTATAAAAAAATCGAGTTTATTTAAAGCACAGGTCTTGGCTTTCTTCAAATGCAAAATGATTTCAAGAAAGATACTACACATGCATAATAAGCACGGTAAGCAGGTTAACAGATGAGTGCGTTCCAGTCTCCATGACATCAACTCAATCTAGTAAACACATGTAAACGCATGTTTGACCTTTTAACCAATCAGGAAACAGGGTTGACTGGAGTCATAATTGGCCCTAATTAAGCTAAAGAGCTGCTTAACTGTAGCAAATGAAGTGTAATGAAATGATAATTACTCAAGACCATTTCTGATAGTAGGAATGGCTCCAACCTTACATTGTTACATATTAAAGTGCTTCCTCTTCAGAGCTGCATTTAGAGGTAAACAGAACACTGATCTGCACTCTATGAATTGCTCATGTCACGTCAAAAATGCCAAAACATTTCAAGTCTCAAATGATTGAGGGCTTATTTGTGTTGTGTTATCATAAATTGACAAAAATAAGCCAAAACCTGCCATGATGATTTCAATATCAACTTATTGTAAGAAGGATAGACTAGTGGTACTTTTTTATTTTAAAGAGACCTGTTTACATGTTTACTGTTTACATGCTTGTTCACCAAAAAAGGCACCAACATTTTAGACACCATGACACCAGACTAAACAGCAGGGTTTACCCCGCCATTATAAGACTGTGATAAAAGACTTGGCATTGCGAAGACATTGCACATTTTTGTTTACAGAGCCTGAGAGTTATTATATGTATTGTGTTAGTTGTTTGTTTTATTATTAATGTTTTTAATTTGGGTATTTTATATGTTTACCCCATTCTACTGACTGAATATTCGTGGCTTGCTATTGAAAAGGGTTAACTCACATTATGTTGATACTATTTCACTGGTGGCATGAAATGTGCTCTAAATTACAATGTTATAATTTACTACAATTTGATACGTATCTCGTATTACACAGACTGAATATTCTAAAGAATTAAAAGTGTATTGCTATATGAAATGGTTTACTCACATTATTATTATGTTGTTATCTCACTTTATCAGTGGCATGAAATGGGCTTTAAATGACAATGATATCATTTACTGCAATCATTTCTGGGATAATCAATTGTCCAACAGTATTAGTTATGTTTGAAGGCCTAGTTTTACTTCCTGTACACTCTCCTGTGTGAGGTATGAGCTAGACAGCTGTGTCACTAAACCCTGAGATTACTTTTCTTCCAGAATGATCTTAACTTGTTCGAGAGTGATCTGGGCCTTTCTCGTCGGCCATTCTCAGCCTCTCCTGCTCCTTCCTGAAGGGATTGCCCACCAATCGCAAGGGTAGCCAAGAGATTAGCTCCTCAGATTAAAGTGTCCGCCTCCAAACCCTGCCTAATCCCGCCATCTGTCAGAGAGCAGCTAACCGGCCAAGACTCTCTCCACAAGGCTAATTAGCAAACCAGGAGAAGACAGATCGAGAGAGGAAGAAAATAAATCTCCAAAACACACTTTTCTGTCTGGTAGTGCTCGAGGCAGTGACAATGGAGGACACATTCCTGCTGAACCATCCAGGAGTCAAAAAGAAGATTCTGGCAGGAGGCTCAGGACCACTGCCACACCTTCCAATTGGGACAAAGGTAGCAAGCCACAGTTAATCCCGCAACCTAAATGATACTAGAGTCAAACTCAGTGTGACAGGATATGAGCCTTGTGTAATTGCCATTGTGATGCCATTTATATTCCAACAGGAAAAAGTTTATATTTGTATCCATGTGTTGCATTGCCCACTTCCATTAGATTCAGTTGAATTATTCATCAGATGTGGGAATTTATTTTGTATCTGGCTACAACACAGAACAAACATTTGGTCAACCAAATTGCAACATGTTTTCTGGCACATTGTCTGTGTTTCTGTTCATCCACTGATCCGCCGGTTGCCGACTTTTTTCCTTTTTTCTAGTCAAATCCAGCCATATGGCACCAGGCCTGGACTCTGTGACAAAGATTTTCCATGACAATGCCAGCATGAATTTACCTGTGTGTCTGTGTGTGTCTGTTTGTTTGTGTGTGTGTGTGTGTGTGTGTGTGTGTGTGTGTGTGTGTGTGTGTGTGTGTGTGTGTGTGTGTGTGTGTGTGTGTGTGTGTGTGCTACCTCCCCGGTGAGGTGATTCCCGGTTGTTCTCACAAATATCTTGCCATTATACACAATCTGTCAAGCTATAAATAGAAGGTTACATGGAGCCAGCATAATTTTATAGTCAGCGAGATGGTTGAGGCTTTGCAAGTCTTCCACATGCACAAAAACAGATGGAACACATAATGAAAAGCAGCATGTGCGTGTTACATAAGGAGTGATTTCATTTTATATGACAGCATTCAATTAAATTCAAGTAAAAAACTAACATCAACCTCTAAAAAAAATACAATCACTGTCAAAGGCTAACCATTGTCAAATGTCAATTGAAATGTCCATCTTTTGTATTCTGTTTCGTATCAATGTCAGATTTCCAAAACAAGGTCAAAAAGGAGAAAATAACAGAGACAAACATGGATACTTACAATCCCAGAGAAGATGTTTCCATTGTAAAACTTGATTAAGAATACAAAGTAAATATGAGGGATGTCTTTACATAGTTTTTTTATTCTTTATGCAACATCAGGCTTAACTTAAACGTTTCTTTCCTAACTTTACAAACTTAAATATAACACATAAATACATTTAATGAATGCTATTTTTATTACGCGGCACCCAATACATGATCCAGCTATTCAGAGTCATTATCAGATCAAGATCTGATAATATCAGTGCAACTTTGTAAACCTCTAGAGGTATATTTCCTTGACAAAAGTTTCATTTAATGATTTCCACTCTATAACTCTTACTGTCCCCTGATCCCTCCCTCCCCCCCACCCCCAGCTGATTTTCCATTTCCAGACGCTGCTGGACGACTTTGACCGAACAGTCATTGATGACAGTCGACTGGCAGGCCGGCCGGCTGAGATATTTGCCGGAAAGATGTTCAAGATGGAAGTCTGGGAGACCCTGCTGGGGTCCATGAGGATCGGAGAGGTGGCTGAGTTCTGGTGTGATGCTGTTGTAAGTTGAATTACAGACCTTACAACCCCCGACCCACCCTCTCACACACACGCGCACACACACACACACACATACAAATAAGGCCTCTAAAATAGGTCCTAATGATTGTTCATGAGCGAGGGAGGGTAGCTTTTGCTCTTCATTATGATTCACATGAAACAACCTTCTGAAGCCTCCTACATGCTCAGTATTATAAACACAATCTTTGCACATTTTTGTGATTTTCATCTAGAGAAAAATGTAATTTGCAATTTAAATTGTGGCAATTTCTTATGTGTTCTGATTGGTGCTGACTGGCAGCACCAGGCGGTTGGCATGATTAAGTGCTTCTATTTCTTGTTGCAGACTTGTTGTTTATATAGTTTTTTGATGAGTTAATTTTGTAGCACACAGGCTTGTATCCCATCGTGTCCAAGGGAATGAGGCTCGTTGCTCAAGGGAAAGACCCCCTGGAGGGCCAGAGACACATGTGTGGCATGGGAAACATGTTCAACTATCACTCAACGGGTTTCCCCGAGCTGGACGAGCTGATGAGAACTCCTCAGCCTCTCATATTCATCATGGAGCTGTTGCAGGTAGGCACCGCTTGCAGAATACTCTACGACACACTGTGAAATAAGATGACAGTGTAGATTAATGAGCTGTCTCTTTCAGCTTTTCTCTGAATTTGGCACTTGTAAACCTAAGCAAACAGTAAAAAAAAGACAAAACTTACTTCATCTCTCTTCTACTCTCTCCCAGAAACTTTTTTTTTTAATTCTCTGAGAAATTAAAGTCCCTCTCGGATGAGGGAAATATATTTTATGCAACATATATGATATATTATTTAAATTAACCAGGGGGTTCAGAAGCAGTAGCTAAGTGAAATGATGACTATAGTTTCACAATACCTTTCCACGCACAAGTCAACAGGTCTTCAGAGGTGGAAGAAATCCTTTACTTAAAGGAGGCCTATCGTGCTATATTTGAATAATATATTGTAGGGCCATACCTATATAAGGTATATTTATACGTTGTCTTTTTCAAAATACCAAACAGATCATGCATTTTAGCCATGCCTCATTTTGCTCTATTTTGCTCTCCTCCACCCTGTCTTTGCATGCTGCAGCTGACCACCCCCCCCTGCAAAGGAGGGGGCCTAGTTACGAGCGTAACGTTACCATGGGTCCTTCTCAAGTTGATTATTTTCATTTCCTCGCTCCTCGGTCCTCTGTATCACCGGAAGTTGATTTGTCTGCGCCATCTTGAGTACCGTCTCATGGCGCTTATTTCTGCCGGAGGACCGACGATCGAGGAGCGATAATGGAGGAGCGATAACCGAGGAATCACCAGACCACCCTCCGATGAAATCTACAGATACTGGCCGCGCCCCCTTACTGTGTATCGCTCACTGATTGGACGATGCAGGGCATGCACTGATCTGATGCTTCTTGACATGAGAGCAGTTTCCCAGTGGAGTGAAGAAAAAAACATGAAACTCACGAGAGTCACTCCAGTCAGCTAACTTGTGTTTGTTTAAATGTATGTATATTTAGTTAACAAATATGTGGGAATATAATCTGAACAACAAAGGGGTCAAAAATGTTTTATCATTTATTGGAACATTATTCATGGATCGCTTTTTTCGTTTATCCATTTTAAAGAATGGCGTTTATCTTTTTTGAGAATGAGTTCTTATTTTATTTAATGTTTTGCGTCTACCAACAGATGATACAAAATTGTACTGTGTCAGTAAAAAGGTACTAACAGAGGCGGAGGTGTTTGTGAATAAACGGGGGACAGAGCTGCTGTCAGACGAACAGCTGTGCGCGTCATCACAAACGGTACGGTCGCTGTCACGGTGACGCGTCGGGGGACATATATAAGGTATATTTATACGTTTTTTTTTTTCAAAATACCAAACAGATCATGCATTTTAGCCATGCTTCATTTCGCTCTATTTTGCTCTCCCCCAGCCCTGTCTTTGCATGCGCTGCAGCTGACCACGCCCCCCTGCAAAGGAGGGGGCCGAGTTACGAGCGTCATGTTACCATGCTGTTACCATGCCACGGCAACCTCTAATTCCCCTGATTGGTGGAGAGTTGGCCATATAGGCGGAGCTCCTCGTCACTGACAGACTATTTTCAAATCTCTATCAGTCTGTATCAGATCCGTTGTAGCCCCGTTTTTAGAGATTTTGGGTATGGAGGAAAAGAGAGAGGGTTGAAGAGTGACGGCGATATGGAAGATGATTATAACGGATGTACTGCTTCTTGGACTGGTTCTGTGATAAAAGACGTGCGAAGGTGCAGGCGTTGTGTTTTCTGACACTTGGTGAGTTCCCTGACACAACGGGGACAAATATTCATGTATAAAAGACGTACAAAGGTGCATTTTGCATGATAGGTCCTAGGGATGTAACGATACCAAAAACTCACGGTACGGTAATACCGCGATAACAAGTCCACGGTACGATATTTATCGCGATATATTGAAGGGGAAAAAATTCGAAAAAATACAAGTTTTATCAATTTATTAAATAATAAATCTGATTTGTACAGCATTTTAGTATAGTAGTACATTTAAAGTGTCAAAACAGTAACAGACTGGAACAAGAACAAGTACTACCAAACAAAAGTATGCATTTTCTTTGTGCAAATAAACAAGAACATTCAATAATCAGACCCTGCAATAAAATAGATTTCAAGTAACTCAACTCAAACTCTCTCTCACTCATCAGACAGGTTTTTTTCAGGGAAGATGAGCATGTCAACATTTCCAGGTAGAAGCTGGGATCTTTGGGCGTTTACAATATCCCCTGCTGTGGAAAAAACTCTCTCACTCGGCACTGATGTGGCTGGCGCAGAGTGGAGGATAAAACATGCTTTCGGCCATGGGACAGCAGTGAAGGTACCTTTGCATTGTCTCTTCCACCATCTTAGCGGAGAGACAGTCAAGTATGTATAATATCGCATGTCCGCTGTTGCTGCGGTACAAGTCAATTTCAGAGCTTCGGATACCTTAGTGTATAAGACATGTAGCTCAGTGGCGACGTGCACTTCTTTATTGATAATGACGACTCTCCCCTCAAGGAGAATCTCGATTGGCGCTGATCTTTCACATTGTGCTGACTAGTCTTTTGCAGGTAGTGCAGATTTTGGTCTTCCTCAGCGATTCATGTGCTCTTTCCTCTAACTTCTTGTTGCACTAGGGGCGTTCTATGCATGCAATTGCATGAGGTAGCAATAGACAGGAGTGTCTATCTTTCTTCTTTCACAATAAACAGAGCAATTCACATTGTCATGGTCTGGAAATGCATGACGTTGTAGTCGGAATGTCGTGAGTAGAAACCCTTTGTTAGTACTGTTATCATAGATGTGTACACAGACAGAATTAAGAACTATTATTGATAAGTATTGTATACCTTTGTGTTCGTATTTGGTCGTGGATCTCAGGGATCTTCAGCGCGGCGTGCCTCCGTGTCGTGAACTGTTTCGAGTTTAGTCTGATGCTAGTATCGGTCGCGAAGCTCCCGGACGGGCGTCCAATGCAGTGCTTCTTGCCCAGAAATCGCTTTCGTGTGCTCCTCTTCTGTATGAGATGTCGCTGCTAAGTCTCTCGCGTGTCAGCTCGTCGGTTCATCGGATGTGCGGCGATGTGAGGAGTCCTCATCGCACTGTGCCATGCTTTGCTCTATCATGTGCTTGAGCGGGCACAATGAGAGAGACTGTAGGTCGAGACTCATGCGCACAGCTCATGGTGGGTGTGCTTTTTTCAGCGGTGAGAGAAGCCGAACCATGTCCTCGGCGTCCGTGATGTCAGGCTGGTTCCTAGATGTCTATTCGCGGTGCGTTGCAGCATGCTGATTTCGCAGACTGAGTGAGCGTTGCAGCGATAGCTTGTTGTGCTCAGGGTAGCGCGCGAGCATGTCCAAGCGAGCTGTTCATCTTCGTGACCACATCCATGATGAGTTTATGTCGCGGGCAGTTTAACATTCCCTGGTTTTGGTGGCAGCACAGCTTGTGAGGCAGTTAAACTGCGGAATGAAAAGAAGCGAAGCTACACGCCTCACTCTACCAAGCAGACGACGCCTTGCCCGGTTTATACGTTCAAACCCGCCTTTTGAAGCGAGGTTTAAAGTGTGGCGCAAAAAGCTTTATGTGTGGGAAAGACCCGGCGCTCTCTCACGACTACACAAGACATCCATATTCCATTGCGTTGTCTGTTACGACAGCAATGCTTGATTATTGTTCGAGTCCCACTCCAAACAGCAGATTTTAAACACATCAGCAATGTTTAGTCAGGTGTGATGGGGAAAAGAGGCCGCGTCTGCAAACAAAACTTTTTAATTTCCCATTCGCTGGTCATTAACATTGAGCCAGGTGACTGTAATATACAGCTCTGCGTAGCTCGTGGAAGTCACACCCATCTGTTGTTAATTGAGATGCACTCTGCTTCTTTGAAGGCTCTGTGATCATATTGTAGCTTTTGTCTCTTGGTACAGAGCGGGTAGCACTGTTCGACGTAAAGTATGGCCGGTGGGATGGAATGGGCATACTGGGGCTCCAGCGTGTTTACTACCCTCGAAAGCTCCACTGTTGTCGAAACCAGAAACGGCCTTACATTTTGGCCATGTACTCGCCGATGCACCTTGTTATTCTGAGCTCTTGGACTGATAAGGGAAAGTGCGCCGCTACTACCTCCAATCCATGCCTCTATCACAAAACTATCTGGCATCATGGTAGATGTCATGTTTACGCGACTGAAGCTCTAGAGCAGCTGTTCTAGTGGTAAACATAGGCAGCTCGCTTAATATATATTAGATGTTCACTTTGCAAGACGTAATATTCTGTATGGCTGATTGACTATAGAGTAGTGTGCGCGCTTCACTCTGTGGTCTGATGTGTTTCCGTGTGAATCTTTGTCGTGAGATTTGTTGGAGCAGCTGTAATGAACGTTTTCTTAATGTCGATCTTTGCGCCCGACATGTAGTGCGTACCGAAGTTTCGCCCGGGCGGAGCAGGATTGCAATAGTTTGACCGTTTTGTCGTTTTGCTCTTTCACCTTTGTCATTTCTTGGACAACGGGAAAAACTCAAAATGCTGGCCACCAACGCTTTATCAGTCGAATGGAGAAGACAGTCTCTTCAATTTCCGAATTTCTATATGTGGTCAGCTACTGGTTCGTTCTACGGTCTCGCGTCGGACCAGTGGCGTCTTAGAGTGTGAGGCGCAGGCTTGCACGCGAAGCGATGATGGGGTATTTCGCGTTTTTCTGACTGATCTGACTAGTGACAGTACCTTCACATACCGCTGTTGCGCCCTGCTTGGCGCTGTGGCTTCATCACCTCACACAATGCATATTACAGTGTTCTACAATTTACTAGCGCGACAGCTAATCAATGAATGAACGGTAGAATAGTCGCGGTACTGATACTAATATTGTTACAGTCTCACCCAGACTGGTTGATTTTATCTTCGAGACAGATGATGTACAATTAGCGCGGGACGATGACAAACTCGAGCGGTATTCTGGCTGTCAATATTACGTATGGACATTCTAGTCACATGAAGACTCATTCTCTCGATTTGACGCCATAAGGTGACTGGCGGTACGCACACTCGCGCGCGCGCTACGACACATCGTAGTATGTTATGACTTTCTGGTCAGCTCCCGGCATGTTTATCGCTCAGAAGCGGTGTCAGGATACACAGAGACGCAGTTGGAATGCCCAGATTGTGTGTCCTCTCCTTATCCAGCTGAGCTCCGAGCCCTCCCCACCCATGCGCCTATCGCTCTCATGCAGATATCTATACACATACATGAACATATGTACCCAACACTGATGTTATAGGTGACACTGGTGATACTGCCCTGCGAGCGAGCAGTTGAGATTGCTAATAATATATATACTGATAGGTCAGCGACGCCACATCTAGGCCTCTCCGCATCTCAGCTGATCTTCTCCAGCTCTCTCATGTACGATCATCATCTTTCCACTCCACCAGCCGCGCGGAAGCTGTACCTCTGCCTGCTTCGACCTCTTGCACACCATGACACAACAGAGGTAAGAACGCACTCACGCCTGACTCAGTGGTTAAGGACTCATAATGCTGACTCAGAGGGTCCTAGGACTCATAGTCGATGCTGGACTCAGGTTGAAGGACTCATAAATGCTGACTCCAGGGGTAGCTCATAACGCTGAATCAGGGGTTAGGACTCATCATGCCTCTGACTCAGGGTTACGGACTCTAATGCTGACTCAGGGGTTAGGACCTCATAATGCTGATCAGGGGTTAGGACTCAATAATGCTGACTCAGGGGTTGGGACTCATAACACCCTCACCTGGGGACTCAGGGGTTAGGACTCATCATGCTGCTCAGGGGTTACGGACTCATAATGCTGATCAGGGTCTAGGACTATAATGCTGATCAGGGGTTGAGGACTCATACTCTCGACTCAGGGTCTAGACTTACATAACGCTGATTCCAGCTGGTACAGAGAGCATTAAGAGCATAACATAGACCTTGCATGTATCAGAGGAAATATAGAGGGGACTTCACCTCGCTAACATACAGGGGTGAAGGACTGCATCTAAATGCTGGATCTCCAGGAATATAGGCACTTTCTAGCGCTACGCCATCAGGAGATAGAGACGTCCATAACAGAGATGACACAGTGGTTCTATGAGACCTCATCTAATGCTATAGCGTTCAGAGGTATACACGGACTGACATGCATGCGACTGACTCATGGGTCCTAGAGACAGATACATAATTCGCTGACGCGCGTCCAGCATCAGTACACGCTGAATCAGGGTCAGATGTACATAATTCGCCTAGCGCGTGTTAGGATCGTGCGTTAATGCTGACATCAGAAGGTCTATGGATACATAACAGGCTGACTCAGGGGTTAGGACTCATAATGACTGACTCAGGGTTCAGGACTCGTAATGCTGACTCCAGGGGTTAGGGACTCATCTTCTGACTCAGGGGTAGGACTCATAATGCTGACTCAGGGTTCAGGACTCATAAACGCTGACTCAGGGTTCAGGACTCATAACGCTGGACTCAGGGTCAGGCCTCATATGCTGACTCAGGGTTCAGGACTCATATGCTGACTCAGGGTTAAGGACTCATGATGACTGACTCAGGGTTCAGTGACTATAATGCTGGACTCAGGGTTAAGGACTCATCGATGCCTGACTCGAGTTAAGGACTCATAATGCTGCTAAGGGTTCAGGACCTAATGCTGACTCAGGGTTTAAGGACTCATTATGCTGACTCAGGGTTCAGGACTCTTATGCTGAGTCAGGGTTCAGGATCATACGCTGATCAGGGTTAAGGACTCATAATGCCTGACTCAGGGGTTAGGACTCATAATGCTGCTCAGGGTTAAGGCCTCATAATGCGACTCACGGGTCAAGGGACTCATAATGCCTGACTCAAGGTCAGGGGTTCAGGACTCATATGCTGACTCAGGTCCAGGGTTCAGGCTATAATGCTGACTCCAGGTCAGGGTTAAGGACTCATAATGCTGACTCAGCGTCAGTGACTCATAAGCCTGACCCTCAGGTCAGGGTTCAGGACTCATATGTCTGATCAGCGTCCAGGGTTAAGGACTCATAAATGGCTGACTCAGGTCTCCACCGGCTGAACTCGTCGTCTTCATCATCGAGGTGGAAGGCTTTGTCTTGAGTGTTCCAGTATTCTTCCTCGTCGGCTTTACTCTTCATCTCTGGAAACAACAACACTTTATTATCGAAACCGTCATCACAGACAGAAACAATAAAGATTTCCCTGTTTTAATATGAGTAAATAGTACAATAGAACCTCTCTGATTTTATTCCTGACTTTACCACAGACCCTTTAGATACGAGAACCCTGTTGGCTAGCAAGTTAGTCTGTTACTGTTAGTCTGTTAGCATGTTAGTCTGTTACATGTTAGTCTGTTAGCATGTTAGCATGTAGTCTGTTAGCATGTTAGTCTGTTTAGTCTGTTAGCATGTTAGTCCTGTTAGCATGTTAGTACTGTTGGCCTGTTAGTCTGTTAGCATGTTAGCCCTTATCTGTTAGCATGTTAGTCTGTTGGCATGTTAGTCTGTTAGCATGTTAGTCTGTTAGCCTGTTAGTCTGTTAGTCTGTTAGATGTTAGTCTGTTATCCTGTTGGCATGTTAGTCTGTTAGCAATGTTAAGTCTGTTGGCATTGTTAGTCTGTTAGCATGTTAGTCTTGTTAGCTTGTTAGCCATGTTACGTCTGTTAGGTCCTGTTAGCATGTTAGCATGTTAGTCTGTTACGCATGTTAGGTCTGTTAGTCTGTTAGCTGTTAAGTCATCGTTACGCCCATGTTAGCTCTGTTGGCCCTGTTCTGGCCTGTAGTCTGTTAGCATGTTAGTCCTGTTAGTCTGTTAGTCGTTGCGCCTGTGTCTGTTAGCATGTCTCAGCATATATTACAGAGCGCGAGCGAGAGCGGCGCGGATTACATACCGGTACAGAGACTATCAGCTGTTATGTAATTAAGGTAGCACGCAGACTATCGCTGTTATTAAATACGGGTATATTTACAGACAATCAGCTGTCACCTTATTACATACGGTACAGAGACTATCAGCTGTATTAAATACGGTACAGAGACTATCAGCTGTTATTAATACGGTAACAGAGACTATAGCTGTTTATTAAAGTACGGACAGAGACTATCAGCTGTTATTAAATACGGTATATTACAGACATCAGCTGTTACCTTATTACATACTGGAGGTAAAGAGACTATCAGCTGTATTAAATAACGGTACAGAGACTATCAGGCCTGTTATTAATACGGTATATTACGACAATCAGAAGTTACCGCACGTTATACAACGGTACAAGAGACTATCAGCTGTTACCTTTTTATTCTTCTCTGATGGAGGCTTCACGGCTTCCGGTCACGCAGAGGCTGCTGGTGAGCTAGGTAGGCTTGTTTGAGACGCGTTGCGGCTCGCCTCGAAAAGTAGATCGAGAATAGCCGATCGCAGCCAGGGGAGGTCTCAAAGCTCGCCCTGAAGTAAGACAG